CCTGGCCGATAATATATCCAGCAAGGTGAGCCTCAGTTTTTTCTCTTCTTTCGTGTATGTTTTTTTTTTTTTTTGTTATATTGTTTTCCAAAATTTGTTGCCTTTGTTTTCCTAAACATAATTTTTATTAATTAGCAAATAATATTTTTACCTTAACAGTTCTTCATACTCCGAGGCAACACAGCACCTATTTCGTTTCATCGATGAGGTCCATCCGCCACGACAAAAATTTCTTTTCGCTAGTGTTGGGAAGGTAATGCCCTGAAAGTGTAAATAGCAATATAGTAAATTTCTGGTTCTTTGCTTCCGGCACATTGGCACAAATAGAATTTTGAAGATAAAAATCACTATTTTCTTATGAACTTTATTACAGGTTTCGGCGCTGGATGTGGCAAAAGGTCGAGTGGTTGAATGTTTGCAACGAGTCAGCGACCTGATGGATTTGCGTACATGTGCTGATGGCGTTAGCGTTGCTATGGAACAGGAAGACTACGAGTTAGCTGCTAGACATATTCACAAATTTTTGACCCTGGACACGGCTGTTTTTCAAATGGGCGAACAGGCCGAGGCAAAAGGTTAGCATGCACGGAATTAGCAAAAAGTTTATCTCGTGCTTAAACTTTAATGATTTTTCAACCCTCTTAATTGTACCTTTTATATGCACTTGCTGCTGGGCATGGCACAATGACAGACGTTAAAATTTCCGTTCTTAGGGCGAAGAGTTCCACTCCATCACTGCTCTTTCCAGTCTCTTCATCTGTTTCGATGTTAAATTGATATTGCTGTGTGCCAGGATGCCGACTTCAGTTTTCTTCTGCGCAAGTTGTGAGTGAAGAAGCCGTCGAAAACCTTACCAGTGGGAAGAGGACTGCTGTTGGCATGGACCTTCTTCTGTCAAAAACAGTGAATAATCGAGCGGCTTTATCTACATTCTAATATAGCCTTGAAATTTTGAGTTCATAAATAGCCAGATAATTTTTTTATCAGATACTGGGCAGTCGATGGGGCGAAGTTATGAAATTCTGCGAGAAGCAGCTGCCGAAATGAAATCGATAGTTGAGAAACGCTTTGACCAGGTATTTCTTTAGTACTTTCAATTCGTTTTGCAAATCTGTTCCCAGCGATAAAAATCTAACTCATGAGAATCTAACTAACAGGAACTGCTGTTTTTGAAGTTAGAATCCTCCTGCTCGATCTATTTTCTTAAAACTTATTCACTAATTGTAAAGGGAAGCTATTGTTTGCAACTTTTCCTTGTTGGTCGGTTTGTGATTTTCGAAATTTGGTTCATTTAGGCAGTTGAAAGTAACGATGTCGCATCAATCCAGAGATTTTTCAAATTGTTTCCACTTCTGAATGAGCATGCCAATGGTATCAGGCGATTCGGTGATTATCTTTGTGCAGAAATCAGCAAACTCGCAGAGCGAAATTACAAGGTCATTTTATCAGTACTCTGAAGGTGGAAAAGACTTTTTGGCATACATTTATTGCCTTTTAATTTCTTTGCAGTAGGCATACCTGTGGAAAAATTAAATTTATTTAAAGGTAATGCAGGCTGGTGGCTCAGATGACAAACGCCTAAGCGTGCTTTATGCCGATTCGCTAACAATGCTTTTCGAAGGTATTCTCAGCGATTTGTTAAAACTTCGGGGTGCTAACTTTCTCTTCAGGGGCTCGCGTTTTCTTACCATTATAATAATTGTATTGAGATATTTTACTACTTTTATTAATTCATTAATTTTATTTGCTTTTGTTTTCTTCCAACTTTAAAATATTTTTCTATTACACCAACAGAAAGTCGCACACATTTCTTAACTTTTAGGAATAGCGCGTGAAATACAAGTGTACGAGCCACTGATCGATTCTTCATACGGCCCTGACAAGCTCCTATCACTGATTGAAATTTTGCAGGTTCGTATGATTTTATCAAAATTAAGCAGTTTATGCATACTGGATGCGACCAATTTTTGCTTTCATTGAGGTTGAATTTAAGAAACAACAAATACGTTTTTGTAGTTTAAAGTGATCAAACAATCATTCATTAAAGAAAAAATATGGTTTTCTAAAAATGTTGACTTTTCGCAAACGATTTGGCGTGAAGCAGATGGTGGTCCACCTGAAGTCGTATTTTGATCCTTTATTGTTGTACTGATAAAGCAGTGTGCAGGTTATGCTTACCGGTTTGCTACACTTCAATGTTAACGATTTTTCAAAAATTTTTGGAGTGAAGACTGGTTTAGAAATTTGTAAATCACCTTAAAATGTTCGTAAACAGCAGGTTTGCAGTCTATTTTACAAGATAACAGGCTGTTTATTAGGAGAAACCAGGAAAGCCACTGTTTCAGACGTAAACTCTTCTTGCCTAGTTTATTGAATATACCAACTTTCCGCAGTTTTTTAATGGAATATTTTTGTGCTGGCAGTAGTCTTTCTCTATTTACTAGCTTTTTCAGGAGGTATTGCATGCACCACATTTACTGTACCGTCCGTGTGACTTAAATAAGTGTTCTTTCTGTGTCTTCGTAACATCTGTTACCCGTAGAAGGAGATATACCTGCAGAACAACGATTGTAAAACATCAGGGGTACCGGTCTTTTTTGGCTGTAAAGTTATCTGGAGGTGTCCTGCAAGGGTCAACCACATATGACCCTTTTCTTCGCTAATGTGCGGTTTAAGTTTTCACGGAAAATAGCTTTCAGTACACTTGGGAGCGTCCAATACGCCAGAAAAAATTAAGGCAAGAAATTTGCATATGAATGAGGAAGTGGGTAGAAAGGTATGTTTTAAAATAGGATTTAACAATTTGAACGCTTTTTAGAAGAAATGCGACACAGAGGCCGAACGAATCATCGCAGCATTTATTAGAAACAGACAGTTTGATAGCAAGGCAAAATTAGTGGAGAAGATAACGAGAAGTTCTGAAAAATATGTATCAGGTTTTTTTTTCTCGTGTTTTGATAACTTCTTCCACTGAACCAAATGGCCGAATAATCATCTGCGGTCATTGGGCGTTATGCGGAAGCATTAAAAAGAACTTTAATGGACAAGTTGGGGAGCGCGGTGAAGTTTTTTGCTTTGAAAGAAAAAAGGCGAACGAAGCCGGGTCACCAGTGGGCTGAGCAGCAAATAAACAGTAATTTGGTCGTAATA